TCGGGTTCCAAACGCATGCGAAACCCGACATGCAAAACAAACACAATCAAACACAGAGTTGGACGATTCTGGCCGTCTCGGGTTTCTTTTTACGCCCCCGTGGACCCCCAAAAAACTCGGGTTCCTCCTTCCATATTGGAATCTCCGAGTACTCTCTGCGGCCGTTCTGATTGCTTTTCGCACCCTCCCCCCAAGCTCTCCGGGCGCCTTCCCCGCACCTCGTTCGGTCCGCCAGGGCTCGATCTTCTCGTTCCCCCTCCCAGCTCCCTCGTCCACCCCACTGCGCCGCACTCGGCCAACCCTGGTCACTTTGTGAGGCCCTCCCGGGCACCCGCGGCGTCCTTTTCGGGGCCGAACCCGACGGTTCTTGGGTTTGTTCCGGCTTCCCTTCGGCCGTCCTGGCGGTTTTTCGGGGCCCTCCTCGGTTTCCAGGAGCAGGTTCCGGGTAACAGTTCGCGCCTTCTTGGGTTGTCCTCGCCTGTACAATGAACCTCGTGAAGCTCGGTCGCGGGGTTCACGTGCTACCATATCTGCACCAAAGCGGCCGCTGTCCAGAAACAGTGGGGCGGCGGTGTTTGCCCCTTGGGAGCGTTCAGTTACATTACTCGAGATGGAGATCCAGAACTGTGCATTTCATAAAGCTTGTCACGTTTCATAGAGGAACCGTGTCTGTGAATATCTGGGTGTGCGAGCGAATCTGACCTGACGAACGGCGTGATAACGACGACGACAACGACGACTTCAATGACGCCCACCGCCTTTCGACACTTTTCAGGAGTGTGTAGGGAACACACAAACAGAAGAACGAGGGGTGATTCTTCTCGTCGTCTTCACGGCAGCAACTCAGACAAGCGAGCGTGGCGTTGCTACGCCCGCTCTTTGGCGTGCTACTCGCGGCGCCTGCTGGCACTTGGGGTACATAAAGAAATGCTAATGAGCAGGTCCGAGTGTGAAACGAGTCCGTCTGAACGAGGAAACAAACGAGGAGGAAGAGGAGGAAAAGGACGAGGAGGACGCTCCAAGGCCCAAGAAGCAGAACAAAACCGTGGATCTCAACGAGCGCGGGGCAACGCGTCCTGGCCAACGGCCAACGCGGCCAACGGCCAACACCAAAGACACTCGCGCAGAAAAGGGGTCACAGACACAAGCAGGGACCGAACCTCCGGCTTCCTTCCCCTGACTAGGTCCAAGTGGCGCCAGCAAGGCTGTGCCTTAGGGAGGAACCCCAAAAATAATGCAAACCGAAAGCCGTCCCGCACCCCGCGCCAAGCTAGCGTTCGGGGGTTCGGGGTCGGCACCCAAGGAACAAAACGCGGAGCGTTGCCCAGCGCCCGCGCCCCCACTAGCACTGCAGCAGTATGCCCGCGACAGAAGGCGCTGCAACCAAGAGGTTCCAGGCGGGAAGCCGCGGGCCCCGCCTCTGTGAACATCAACGGCGGTTCACCTCAGACCAGGAGGTGCCACTGGGGTCTCCCCGCGCCCAGGGCGCTCCTCTTGGCCGAGGTGGCAGGGCACTAAAGACCATGGCCAAACAACTGCGACGGCGACGGCGGCGGCAGCAGGGGGCGGGGCGGGCAGGGGTGGGGAGGGACACATTCCGGCCCAGGAGCGCAAGCAAGGTTCACATCGGACTTTAATCCAGGGCCATGCCGCATCTCCCTACAAGGGATGGGGGCGACGGACACGAAGAACCGAGACACGAAGGACGACAACGAACGACCACGAGCCTCCCAAGGGAAGCGCCACCCTCCGCCAGCTTGTTCCTTATAGCACCCACGAGCGGGCGGGAGAAAGACCCTGACATCATCGGACCCACACCGCATTCAGGCGGTGCCACACGGAGCCCAGGCTGCACTGCTTATCCGCGGTGGCGAAGCATTCGAAGGAGGAGGAAGAGGTGAGTGAGTGAGGGGCACACGAATCCAAATAGAAATCCGAGGGGGGAGAATCAGGCAAACAGCCTGAGGCATCCCCACAGTGTGGGCGCGAATCCTTGGAAGGTCCACGCACCCTGGCGGCTCCCCCTTGGGGTGCTCAAATGCAACGGCTGCTGTATCGCGGTGAACAATGGACCATAACAACAAAAAACCGGAGGGGGCAGAAACAGGCAAACCGCCTGAGAAGTCCCCGCGATCTGGGCGCGAACGGGCGCGTGTCAAACCCACTTGGGGTGCACAACGCCTGCTATATCGCGGTGGTGAGCAATGCACCACCAAAATCGAAAAGTCAGGGTGGGGCAGAAACAGGCAAATCACCTGAGACACCGGCCTCGGAAACAAATAGCCAACGCTCATGCCACATCCATCTGTCAACGCCTCCCCCCCCCCCCAATGTTCAAACTTGGCGGTGGGTCTGATGAGTTGCACCTCGAGCGCAGTCTCCCCCGCGCGTGCCTTGAGTTTTGGGGGGAGGGGGAGTGTTCAGTAATTGTTTCCCTTTACCGCATTCCCACAGTGTGGGTGTGAACGGGCGAGTGTCATACCCCCTGGAGGCTGGAGGTGCCTCCTTGGGGTGCCCCAAATGCACGCCTGCTACATCGCGGTGGGCAGGAGGGCAGGAAAACCCACAAAATTCAGGGGAGGGGAGAAACAGGCACACCGCCCAGACATCCTCGCGATCTGGGCGCGAACGGGCGGAGTGTCGCACCCCCTGGGCGCCCAAATGCCACGCCTGCTACATCGCGGTGGGCAGTGGAACCCCAACACAGAAAAGCCTGGGGGGGCAGACACAGGCAAACCGCCTGAGACCTTCCCACAATCTGGGCGCGAACGGGTGAGCGTCACACCCCCCGGCGGCTCCCGCTTGGGGTGCCCAAGTACCATGCCTGACATATCGTGGTGAGCAATGGACCACCAAGGCAAAACAAAAAGTCAGGGGTGGGGGGGGGGGGGCAGAAACCGGCAATCCGCCTGAGACATCCCCACCATCTGGACACTAACGGGCGAGGTTCATACCCCCTGGCGGCCCCCGATGGGGGTGCACAAGTGCCACGCCTGCCATATCGCGGTGAGCCGTGGACCACCAGAAAAACCTGAGTGAATCTGAATGAGGACGAGCGTGTCGGAGTGCGGAAATCTGAATGTGCATGAGTGAGTCTGCGTCTGAGTGAGTCCGAGTGAGGAAGTGATGTGGCTGAGTCGGCGTGAGGGACAATGTATGTGTGATGGGCTCCCTGATGGAGAGTGGGTCTATGATTCAATGATGGACCCCGTGACGGGCGTGAGTGATCTGAATATTAGTCTCTGAGTGATGTGAAGTGAAGAGAAAAATGAGAAGAAGATGGAGAAGGAGGAAGGTCTGGAGGCGTCTGAACAGTGACAAGAACCCCATCTGAGGAGATGGGGAATAACATGACACAGAATTAGGACGGAGGGCCCAGAGAGAGGAACAAATTGGACGGATATGGAAATATCAGGACGGAGACATGCACGAAGTGAAAAACCTGTAGGGGCAAGAATGGGAGATGACGGAGAACAAGTACAAGTGATGGCGGAATGGGAAGCTATCCACAGAATGGGGGACCGAATGCTAACTGCTGCGCTGCTGGGACCCACCCACACATGAATCAACGAGGACCCACTCTCCCAATCAGGAAATGCAACGTAACCAGACAAGCGCTGCAGAACGCAGATATTCCTACAATAACGTTGGCCGCATGAAAGGTCACTTGGGGTCCCTGGTGAACGTCTGGTGGCCCCTGGGGGCCGCTTAAAGGCCCCTATCGAGGCTTCCTCGGCTATCATGGCCCGATTGGGTGGCAGTGATTCCGACGACGCTTTGGACCCGAGAAGGGTGGCACGAGTTGGGATGACGTCTGAGAAAGCGGCGGGGCTTCTGCGAAGGCATGGGGGCATATTGGAGGCCCGCCCGGCTTCTAAGAGGCCCTTCTTTTGTTGGCTTCTAAGAGGCCTTCTAAGAAGCCTCTGGGGCCTTCCAAGAGTGCCCCTGCCTCCTGGGCCGCCTTCTCGGCCTAGGACCCCTGGAAGGCCGCCCCCGCGCGCCGGCCTCCTCCTCCTCCTCCTCCTCCTCCTCCTCCTCCTCCTCCTCCTCCTCCTCCTCTCCTCCTCTCCTCCTCCTCCTCCTCCTCCTGCTGCTCCTCCTCCTCCCTCTCCTCCCTCCTCCTCCTCCTCCCCCTCCTCCTCCTCCTCCACAATTACACAATATGAAAATACTCTCCCACTTCCCCTGATGGCGTCCCGAAGATCTCCGACACCCCCCCGCGTATTGTTTTTTACACACAGGATTCCCGGGAAACGGGTTTTCGCTTGTGTTTGTTTCAAAATGCTGCTCTCGCCGGGGCGCCGGCCTCATTTTCGGGCCCCGCTCGTTCCGAATCGTGCTCCCGCTGCAGCGCTGGCCTCATTTCCGTGCTTCCGCTCGTTCCGACTCGTGCTCCCGCTGCAGCGCTGGCCTCATTTCCGCGCTTCCGCCCGCTTCGACTCGTGCTCCCGTTGCAGCGCTGGCGTCATTTCCCGTGCCATGCCACAGCACACGCGCACACACGCACACACACACACACACCACCACCACCACCACCACAACCACCACAACCACCAGCACCACCAGCACCACCAGCACCACCAGCACCACCAGCACCACCAGCACCACCAGCACCAGCACCAGCACCAGCACCAGCACCAGCACCAGCACCAGAACCAGCACCAGCACCAGCACCAACACCACCAGAAGCAGCAGCACCACCACCACCACAACCACGCACACACGCACGCACGCACGCACGCGCACCACCACCCACTAGTCCGCGGATAGAGAAAATCAGCGCCATGGTAAGGGATGGGAGGGAGGGGTAGGACGTCAGATATGACGCGCGCGCACCCAGCTTGTCCTCCTCCCCCTCCCCCTCCTCCTCCTCCCCTCCTCCCCTCCTCCTCCTCCTCCTCCTCCTCCTCCTCCTCCTCCTCCTCCTTCTCCTCCTCCTCCTCCTCCTCCTCCTCCACCGCGCCGCCCCCTGGACACCGCCGAAATATACAACCAACTTCAGCGAGCAGCCATGCGATTGTGTGCCGTCGTGCCCCCTTCCTTTTTCGACTTTGCGTGCGGTCGTCTTCCGCCAGCACGCCCAAGCCAATGTCTGCCACTGGGTGCCCTCCAGGCACTCTTTCTGCAAAAGGATGGCCGCCCCAACCTATTGAAGGACTGTGTAAGATCCCCTTCCTCGGAGGTGTTTCTTGAAGACCTGCCGCTGTACGCAACACACGCTGATAAATCTACGGGGGGCGACCACGCCACTTGCGCGGATCACAGTTGATGAGACCATCTGCGCCGATCTGACAAGAATAGTTACATGTAAGCCACCCGCGCTACAAATTAATTCGGACGATGCTGAGGCTACTCAGTCATAAAGATGCCTGCGTCTCCCTCCATGTCTGTGTTGCTCGCACTGCCGCTGCCACCGCTTGCCGCCACTGCTGCTCGCACCAGCACTGCTGCTCACGCCGTCACTGTCCAATGAAACTCTCGTTGAGCGTGCTCTTGGTGCGGACCCTGACCAGTTCCATGACGATCTCTTCCTGGGTCTCGGCCTCGCTCGGGTCCAACTTCTTCTCGGGCACGCGCGGGTTGCCCTGGCGCTGCAGGTAGTCCAGAGCTGCGAACACGGCGGCCAGGCTCAGGTAGCCGAGCATGAAGGCGCACTGCGAGACGCCGAAGGCGCCCTTCTTGCCCGTGAAGGTCCTGAAGGTAAGATCGGCACGAGGCTGATGGACAATACCGAAGGTCGCCAAGAGCGCCCCAACAAGCGACCAAATCGAGCACTGCAGGAAGTTGCCGTTGATGGCGAAGACGACCAGTGCTGTGAAGATGATCGCGGACAGCAAGGAGCCATAACCCAGAGCCTCCAGCGTGGGATTCCTCGTCCCTGTCATCTGGGAATTCGCCCAGTCTGCAATGGCCGGCATCAGCCCGATGATAGCCGCGGGGAGGTGCCTGTTCTCGATGTTGCCGAAGGCGTCCTGGTTGATTGCGAGCCCAATGAACAGAACGATTGGCGCGATGGCATACGGAGGGACGAGCGCGGCCACCATTGAGAACTGCCCCGTGAGGCACATGAAGCAGAACAGGCCACAATTAAAGAAGGAATAATAGATTGTCCCTCCCGCGCGCTTCAATGGTTTGTGGCTGCAGAAGACACACGTGCCAAAAGGAGATCCAAACAAAGCTGACACGATCGTCGTGCATCCATCGATGACAAGCGCCTCCTTCACGCTGTACGGGTCACCCGCCTCGTGCGCATTATACACAGATACTAATGTGTTGATGGCGCCGACGAACGCTACGGGCAAAATGACTGAAAGGTTCTCGATCGCCACCTCTGGTATCTCCAGGAAGGCCTGCGCATCCAAAGGTTGAGGCAAATAAATGCTAAAGATCGAACCGGCATTCTTCACCGCCTGCCACGTACCGCCATCCTTGTTGACCGTGTCCTCTGGCCATCCTGAGCTGAAAAACCATCCCATGAAAGCACCAGACAACATGATCATGACTGCGTTCGGAATCGGGTTGAACTTGACCCCGACGAAATAACCCAGCACCTAGGATAATGCCAAAAAACTGAACCTAAATTGAATCGTTCGGAAATCCGCGCAGATTTCTCGGGTCGGCGCCTGACCCCCATCTCCAGAGCGCGCCAAGTGGCCTGAGGCGCTGCCAGGAGACAGGCGATGGAGAGGCAAGCGCCAGTCCAAGAAATACACGCGGACCTCCAAAGACTGTGATCATGTAGTTATTTCGGTTTCACGCACCGCAGTGGCCAGTGGCACAAAGCCCAGGTGGCCCGCGGAGAAAACCTTCATCAACTGGGCAATGCCCAGATGCGTCAAGCCGACGCCGGCTAAGGCGATCAGCAGCGCTGGCTTCGGGGCCACCTTGAGGAGTTATTCTGTGCATGTGGCAAAAAACGCATGCCCTTGCTCGTCTTTTCAATCCGCGACGTGTTTGCAAACATTTGAGATTATGTGGGCGAGCAACAACATATGCACATGTACACCCTCTGCGGTCCAGCGTGCACGAGTTACCGCGTTCAAATGCAAAACACATGAAACTGACCGCGTACGCGTACGTATGTTGTGGGCCTCGGATTGTATTCAAACCATGGACCTTCATGATGGCCGGTCCAGCGAAACCGACCAAAGCAGCAATGAAGCCAGCGGCGAGGTTCGCCACGGTGGTCACCTTCGCGGAAGCTTGAATAAGAACTATTCAAAACATGAGGAACAATTCTGGCACGGCGGATCGGCGTCCTCATGGAAGCGGGCCCTCTGGACGCGGCGTCCTGATGGAAGCTTTGCCCAGGGGGACCAGCTTCATCCGAAATTAATGTTTCACGGCCCCAGTGGCTTATCATCGTCATACCCTCCTTCAACATTCGTAGATTGCGGAGTAGGAGAGATCCAGCCGTGTTCTCCGACGCGTCGCTCCAGCACTATAAACAAGCTATTTGGAAATTGCAACCCACCCTGAACTTGACGTTTCCCTTGACGTTCCGGATTCCGTCCAGCCCATCCCGCCATTCCGCCCTGGTCCGCCTCACTTGCCTGTCCCGGCAGAACGGAGCATGATATTAACCCTAGCTCCCTGATGGTACACGGATAACTGACGCAGCACGCGCCAACTCGTGCTGCCTGATGCCGATAATGTCAGCAGCGATCAATCAGCCGGGCTGCTTGCGAGCGAGTTGTCGCCAATACTGAAATACTTAGTTCGCAATACTTGCGGATACAAGGCTGAGGGGGCGTGGGTGGGTCGCGGCGCGGGGAGGTCGCGGGTTTGTCGCGGAGTGGCTGAGTTGCGGCGCTGGTGGGTCTCGGGTGTGTCGAGGCGCGGATGGGTTGTGAGGTGACGACGACAAGAACAACGAACAGGCGAATCGACACAGTGCAACCTCAAACATGCTAAGGCTGCTCCATCTTCGCTGTGCATGTCGCTCAGCATGCAAAACCCATGTACTCGATACCCACCCTCTTCGTCTTCGACCGTGCCCCCATGGGGGGTATATCTTCCTTGTCTGCGGCCCCTCGAAAGGGTGGAGGAGGAGGGACAGGGAAAAGGGAGAGGGCGAGGCAAAAGAGGAGGAAACGGGGAGGAAGGGGGGCCACAGGATGGGACCAGGGCCGAGGACGACAGGGACTCACCAGGGGGGGGGGTCGAGAGAGCAGCAATACCTTTTGACAGGCAAGCGGGCGGGCCGGCCCTAACGGGCGGGCCCGACGGGCGGGCCGGGCAAGACATCGAGGGGAGCCCTTCTGCGTCTCCTCCTTCGCCGTCCTCCTCCTCTCCTCCTCCTCCTCCTCCTCCTCCTTGTCTACGCGTGTCTCCCCCTCCCCCTCCTCCCTCTCCTCCTCCTCCTCCTCCTTCCTACTTCCTCCTTCCTCCTTCCTCCTTCCTCCTTCCTCCTTCCTCCTTCCTCCTTCCTCCTTCCTCCTCCTCCTCCTAACCCATGACGCCCCAACCGCCAACGGGGTAGACGTCCAGGCAGACCAACGGGGCGGGAGGGTCGGGCGAGCGGACCCTAGCGAGCGGGTCGGGCGGGCGGGCCGAGACGGGCGGGCGTGGGCCCCGGCGGGCGGGGGTCGGGCGGACGGGGCACACTGAGGCGAGCGCCGCGAGTTGGGAAGACGCCTCGGGCCAGAGTTCGGGCCCAGAGGGAAAGTGTGAGGAGCACTCGTGCGAGAGCGCGATTCCTGGGCGTGAGGAGCGCAAGGCCTCAGGACGCTGCATGGTGGTGCTGAGCGAAAGCTCGATTCTGGAGCGAGGAATTGTGAGGACGTCTCGAGCGAGCGCGCGACCCTGAATAGATTCCACAGGAGTGACAGCGGGAGCCGCTGTTGCGTCCTGGGGCCAACAAGCAGCGTGATTCTCAGGGCGCTCTCTCTCTCTCTCTCTCTCTCTCTGGAAACAGAAATGCCAGCCCTGGCGGTGCCTTTCACTTGAGAAGTACAGTGGGCACCAGGCAAGGGCGGGGATCATCAACAACCATCTGTTTAAATTCGGGAGTCCGATACCAAGAAGAACGACCATCCGCATCGCGGAACCCCACCAATTGGTCACAGCTGCGCACCCACGGACTGTGTATGACCGTTCGGCCCCCCTCCCGCTGATCTTTTGAGTTGCACCCCACGGGTCACAACTGCGCACCCACGGACTGTGCATGACCGTTCGACCCCCCCTTTCGTTGATCTTTTCAGAGTTGCGCGCCCTGCCCCTCCTCTCGCTCTTCGACCTTCGACGCGTCAGGGCCGTCGGGCGCGGAGGAGTCGGCCCTGCTGGCGCGGCGGGGACCCCCCCCCCGCCGCGCCCAGAGCGGCGCGCCAAACCGACCCGCCCCCCTCGAGCGAACGCCAGGAGGCACACCGAACGAGGAGCAACGGGCTTCTTCGTTGACCGCGGCGAGCCTCGAAGAGGTCCCCCGACCTTGGTGTGGGCAGCGGCCCGGGAGCCAGAGCTACTCCCGAGCCCGGGGCGTCCCAGGCTTCAGCGTCTCGCCTGGCCGCACACCCTTGAGAGAACACGCTCGCGCCCCAACGCGTGAGCTCTGCTCTTCCGCCTCCGCCTCCGCCTCCCTCTCCTCGACTGCTTCGTATTGATGGCTTGGTGGGCGGTCACCAGGATGCGTACGACAAGCAGGGTAACACCACCTCACGGAGTCCCTGGCTCTTCGGAGCGTGGTTGGGGATTGTACATCCACGTGGAGCTCAATACGTTATGCGCAATTTCCGCTATCTGGGGATCCCAATACTGTGTGGTGATAGACCGTGCGGTGACCTCGGAACCCCAACAGACCTCACCGCACGGTCCGTCACCGCACGGTCTTGGGACCCTGGAGGCCCCTGTCGCCCGAGACATCCTCGGAGAATGACTCGAATCCCAAAACCTTGCGGTGATCCCGAATCCCTACCCACTCACCACCCGGTGTGGTCACCACACCGTTTGGGGCCACCCGGGCTACGTGCTTGAGTTCACAGGCCTCCCGGTGGACAGGCCTTCCCGTAAACGCGTGCCGTCCTCAACCTCTTCTGCGGCCTCGGCTGCCGTGCACCGTGCGTTCTTGGTTTGACCTCTGCCCCGACATTCGCAACTTCTTCGTGGAGCAGTCGGCGTACCTCTTGGCTTCTCAGGCTGCTGCGCATACGCCGACGCACGCCTCGCAACTTCCGAAGCCCGCTCCGCGAAGTCAGAAGCATGCCTGACAAAGTGGGACCGCCTTCCGCGTTCGGCAAGGCTCCAAGCGGTTCTCGGCCGCGGCGTCCCAGGCCGAGGACGGAGGTGCTGGCAGGAGTTCCGAGGTGGAGAGGGGGGGAGGAGAGGACTCCTCTCCCCCCTCCTCCCCGCATGGCTCCCCACGGGCATTTAGGGGATTGCACTTACCAGCCTGTGTTAAGGTGTTGCCTGAGGTTGCCTTGGTTAGGTGCAGCGCATGGCGTGAGTGCGCGTGTGTGTGTGTGTGTGTGTGTGTGTGCGTGTGTGTGTGTGTGTGTGTGTGTGTGTGTGTGTGTGTGCGTGTGTGTGTGTGTGTGTGTGTGTGTGCGTGTGTGTGGGTTTGCGGCTACGTGCTTGTGTGCGTGTGCAGGATGTGGCGGGCGGGCGGGAGGCGGTGGCGCACGGTGATCGTGCCGAGTGTGCGAGAGAGGTCAACCAAACAAGTCTACGAACATCAAGATGCAGCTCAGACAGCACGCAGACAGAAAAGCAACGTGGAGGCGATCGATGGGAGAACGTAACTCTTACAAACAAGTGGCTGGACTCTGGCTGGCCTTTCGATGCCCCCGAACACCACCAATCTGCCCCTCATCTGCCCCCAAGGCAGCCCCAATATAGCCCCAAGGCGGCCCATAATCAGAATCCAGAATCGTCCAACACGACCCCAAGAATCCATCTGGGAGGCTACAGCCTGTCACAAACTTCTATCAGTGCCCATGCGTTTGGTTTTCTCTCCCTGCCGTTTTCTGTTAAGCTCGGGGGCGTCAACACTGCTGGATGATTGCCCCATTGGAGCCCAGGAGACCCCCAGGATGGCTCCGACGAGCGCTCGAGCACATGCTCCAGAAAGCGCCACGGTGGCACCCAGCGGGCCCCGGGGCGGCCGGCCCCGGAGCGGGCATGACGGGGCCCCGAAGCAACCCCACCGTGCCCCCAGTACAGCCCCAAAGGGCTCCGATGTATCCCCGGGGTGGCCCAGGATCGTACAAGACGGCCTCCAAGCATTGACGTTGGTCCTCCGCCCCGAAGCGCTCCAAGGTAGCGCCCTGGACCGACTGGTGCTGCGAGCACGGGGTCCTCTCGGAGCGCGGCGTTCAGCCAAGCGACTCGCCTGGACCTCTGCTTTTCGCGCTCGCGTTCCAGCGACGCTCTGACCAGGTCCTCCGCGCCGCCGCCGAGCCTGCCCAGCCCGCGCACCCAGGCCGGGTTGCACTCGAGGTGATTTGCGATTTCCCTCCACGACGGGACCCTGGCGGGCGAATGGCTCGCCGCAGCGCACCTCCTCCACGGGCTGGCCGCCACTCTCGCCGCGATGGAGCTCGAGCTCAGCACTGCGCAAGGGAAATGCTGATCCCGGCCGGCAGCACTGACAGCGCCAGAAGGCTCCACGCCGCCCCGCAGGGATACCGCCTCAGCACTGGGCGCCCGTTGGCGGCGACGACGACTACTTCTTCTGCTGCCAGCTCACGAAGAGACGAGCCTCGGAGGCGCAGGAGCTCTTGGACGCGCTGGGGCTACTGGGCTTGGCTACAGCGCGCGGGTGGCGCCGCCCACCGCGCACTCGGCGGCCCTGCAGGCGCTGGACGACGGGGTGGCGGCTTGCCTCGAGCAGGTGTCGGACTGCTCGAACCCTAACGCTAAACCGTCGCCCTTAAACCCGAAACTCTGAACTCTAATCCTATCCTGAGGCCTAAACTTTCACCTCAACCCTAAAACCTAGCGCAAAACCTAACCCTAAGTTCTGACCCGAAGCCCTGAACCCCACAATCTCCATTCCCAACCCTAACTATAACCTCTAACCCTAAACCCTAACCTAAACTCCGGCCCTAAACCAAAGCCGTAAGCCAATTCTGTAGTCCTACTCCTGGACCCATCCCTGAACTTTCGACCCGAAACTTTCATACAACCTCCAGATTCACCCGAAACGAGCGAATCCGGACGAGCTCATCTGGAACGAATTCATCCGAACGGACTCATCTGCACAACATTTGCTGAACGAACTTATTCGAAGATGGGTTCATCTGGAGACGAATTCATCCAGACGAATTCATCCGCGTAACCTTATCTGGACAAAGTCGTCCAGAAGGACACTCTTATGGATGAATTCGTCGCGGAAGAAATCGTTTAGGCAGAAATGGTCGTCGTCCCTCCCCGTCCCCCGTCATATGTTCGAATCATCCAGTGCAGCGCTATTAGGGGACATTCCGCCCGTTCCCGAAATCCCGAATCCCGCAAACGAATTGCATCTCTTGCAAGGCAGACGGTTGCTTCCGCCGGCTTCCGCCGCCTTCCGCCGTGGAAGAGGAGGCAGCTGATCGATCCCTCGAAGGCGATGCCCTTTCTGGAGCTCCCCTGTCTGGAACAGCATCACAGCCCCTAGGGCGAGAGGCGGCGAGAGAGATTTCCTCCACCCTTCTCCCCTGGGGAGGACGTCGAATGGATTTAATGCGTTTCCGCCCTCGCTGGAATTGCTACGTAAAATTCCAGGTCCACCTTACGGGAAACCTGAAGACAGATATATGAAACTATCCCTTCCCA